TAGCAACGGCTATTGCCAAATGGCTTAGGAGCCATTTTAAAGGGAAAAACAGCACCGGTCAACTCCAGCCGCCCTTTTCAGCAGCTACAACCCAAATACAGCAGGGACAAGATGCAAAATATTTGATAGCTTTAGAAAACGAGCACAGCACCAGCAGCTCGTGTGTGCTCAGCGGAGAGCACGGCAGCTCTCGGGTGAGGGCAGCACAGCATCCTAGCAGGTCTTGTTGATTATAAGGCGCACACATTTCAGCTACCTCCTTCAGTAGCAGCTAGCTTGAGAATACAAAGGCTTGATAATTTTAACTTCATCAGGTTAGAAAGTTTTGTGTACATAAATTAAGGCTGCAGAAAGTTACCAACCTAAAACTGAAGTCTTTAAATGATTTACTTGGCAAGAAGGTCAAGATACAAGGTTTAAGACTTTCACAGTTTACAAAAGTCAAACTATCAGAATTTATTGAATACGCTTCAAAATTTACCTTAATTAACTAGAATGGCTCAGTTATCTACGCAGTGAGAGATGTGGGAAGTCAAAAACTAGAACTGCTTAAAATGCAGCATAAATTACCTCCATTCTGATCAGTGGTGCTAAGTTTGATATAGCACAATTTATTTTCTACATGAATATCACTGCCAACAAATGAAACATGCATAAGTTTGGGAAAGCACAGATTTGCACTTATTATATACAATCCCTTGATTGAAATACAGTACCTGTGCAAAAATATCACTACGCTCTACAGTCTACTAAGAATGCAAGAGAATATGTTAATGTCAGGTAATGTTTTCAAGGGAAGTCAAACTTTCTCTACCTTTACAAGACCACCACATACTGCTATTAGTCTCCTTCAAAATACTTTGAGAACTCAAAACATCTTGGTAGTTACTTTGGAAGATAAAGCCAAGCAAACTGAGCAAAGTTACTCCTCTGCCAAAGTCAAGTCACAAGCCCTTTCTACCACTTAATTCTTGATTTGTGAGTAACCCCATCTTACACTTTGGGGTTTTTTTGCCTAGATGCAGTGGCTGTAGTGCAGAAAGGAAGCCCTTTGCACCATAGGTCTGAAACGCTTCATTCAGTCACTGCATTTGTTTCTTCCAGCTTCATCTGAGAGAACAAAGAGTACATCTTCAAAATAGACAGTGCGGCCTGTAAAACTACTAAGAATTTGGGGAAAAGAACAGTTAAAAAAGCTAAAATTTTACCCATAATTAACAATAACATCATGAACATATGGTATTAGATATAGATGTAAAATAATTTATGTATAATGCAAGTAGTCATACCAATAATATAATTTAATAACCAAGTAAAATTTGTAGAGGAATATAATTGTTTGATACTCTAGCTTAAACATTACTTGTACTCCTAAAACATAGAAAAATACCCATATTAAATGCTATATTCTTCTGCATAGAACATAGCTAACCTTACAGAGATCTTGATTAAATAAAAACAGTTATCTAGGTAAGATCCCCAATCAAATCACATTATCATCTTACAGTGAAGTTTCACAACTTCAGAAAGACTAAGGACAAAAATACAAGTCTTTTCTTTTTAAACAGGACTAAGTTTAATACTCCCTCATTACAAAATATTTTACTTCCTTAAAGTAAAATGCTCATTGCAAGAATCGGAACTGACATAAATAAAGCCATTAAGGATGATGCATTATGCTTTTTGACATAAGCTTATGAGAAGTTTGAGCTAATTAGGCAGAATCATTGTGCAGTAACTGTTCGAGAATATGTTTTGGGAAAATGCAGAGAATTTTGTGGGTTCCTGCACACAAAATGGGGAAATTCCATGCCGAGACACCCAAGACAGTGCTGCTAACAGCAGCGATGTAGCCATGCTCGTTAGCCAAACACCTTAGTCATCACAGCAGTCAGCTGGGCCATATTCGAGCAGCAGCCCAGATTTGACAAGACAGGCATTGGTGTCTGTTGAAACAGCCTGTGTCAGGTCCTATATAGCAGTAACTTACCTTGACATTACCCTTCTCTGCACTTCTGCTTCCTGAAGTGTCTGCCTCCACGCTCAGCTACGCAGAGCGGCAAACCAACTGTTCTATGCATTTTTGCAAAATATCTATAAATATATTAAATTGCATGAGTTACTCCTACAGTTTATTCTCCGATAGCGTTTCTCCCATAACAAATGCACGTGGGCATTACAAACCTGTACTCACTGACATGAGAAAAGGAGTCTTCCATGGCAGGAAGGAGAAAGCATCTCTTAGAAACTGTGGGACTCACAGATAAATCCTTCATTACTCCAGGATCAACTCTCCTCCCTATTTTATTTCCATGTAGGCAGTCATTTCTCAGGTAGAGAGGTTCTAAGCTATTCACAGCTCCTTACTTGAAAGCGTGAAAATGGAAAAATTATTAAGTGAGTGGAGATGAGAGCAGGACTGCAATATGATCCTATGCAACAAGATTTCCAAAAGGACAGCAGTATCTTCTAAATTTGGCTGATACACAGTGCTGCTAAAATCTCTCTTCCTTAAGAGAGGAGCAAAACCATTTTATACATATACAGGGGAAAAAAAATACACAAGCCACAGACAGATTCTGCATAAGTAATAACTTTATTGTAACTTGATGTGCTGAAATGCAAAAAATATTTTCAGCAACAAGGTACAAAAAGTATTTCACCATTAACATCAGCTGATAAAAAAGGCTGGATGGTTTGATACAACTGTTTACACATCTGAATTCTCTTAATCATTTCCACCCCAAAACAGGTCTAAGCAATTTCACTGGTTTAATTTCTAAAATAGGACTCATTTATGTTAAGCCTTCAAAAAACAGGTTACAAATATGATTAAATTCATTGCAAAACACTAAAAAATGTGAATTCCCTTTACAAATGAAGTCCATTTACTGCAAACGGAAGCCAAGTTAGGAGATTAAGTCAGTGTCTTACTAGTTAGCATGCTAAGCTCTCCTAAATACACTACCGATACCAAACAACCAAAACAGTTAACAACAGTCCATTTATCCATTATCAAAAAAATAAAAAAAATAATATTAGGAATCTCAACCAACTACGAAAATCTGATAGAATGCAACTTTAGTTCAGGCAGACATTTCACTTTTGCAATCCATTGCCTTTTATAAAACATAATTTCAAATATTACATAATGTTTTTTCTCCCACAAGAGAAATCTTTCAACGAAGGTTTGAAAGGAACATAATCTCCACGTAGGGCTTCTGCTGACACTATGCAGATATTAATTTTATACTAAGATATTTAGAAAAGCATCAATACTGGAGTACAACTAACGTTCCATTCATGATTAGCACATTCATTTTGACTTTCACTCAGCTTTTAACAACAACTATTTGCACATTTTCCACAAAGCACACCATTATTGTGGAGTCTTTCCACACTTCCTTTTGTTGTTTCTATCTCAGTGAAACGAAATTTAAGGAGAAAGTATCAACATGTGACAGATCAATACTCAAATCAATACTCCATAACTTTTCTGCCTTAAATGTGTATCAAATAACATTTAAAGATATCATTTAAAAAGATCTTGTATCCTCTTAAGTCTTCCCTTCATTACAATAGCATCCTAAAAAAGGCACAATGTGTTCATACTTCTGCATGCAGTAAATGGACTAGTAAATAAGGATTATTTCTTGAAGCATCTTCCACCTAAAGCATCTCCTTAGGAGAGGTTCAAATGGAAAAAAAAATACATAAAATGTAATAGCATTTAACAGCAAATTGAGTCCTTATTTTTAGAAAGTCATTCTTAACAAAAAACACTGCACAGTCACACAGTCATACACACGCACACACAGAAAACATGCAGGGTTCTCCCCAGAGAAGTGTGGAAGTGGCGTTCACAGGTATCCGAGGGAATAGTGTTGGCAAGCCAAAATATGGCACCTTCATACATTGTGTTCCTGATCTTTACATAAAGCTAAGAACCCCCCGCTAATATCTCAGCCTGAAAAAAAAAATGTTCATTGTATTACATAGTTTCATATCTGCTGCATTTAAAACTGACAACTGAGGTTTGGAAGGGTAAGCTCTTGAGATACGGAGAATAAAAACAAGCTACTGAATCTGAAGGAGAGGGTTATCACCAGCTACCCCATTCCAGTGAGAACACTGCATGCAGTTAAAGAGTAAAGAGGTGAATAATTAGTGCACTCAAGAATACAGCAACTGTTTTACCTTTTTCTTAAGAGCTGACAAAACTTAAAACTATACATAATAAATAAATCCAAATCTAAACAGATCAATTATCATGATTTTCTGTTAGTGTAATGTATGGTACACGCTGCCTGACTTGAGAAGTGGACACTCTACAATGTAGATAATATTACAGCACAGTGTTTGACATTTTTGGTACAAAGTGTGCTATTTAAGCTTCTAAAAAAAAAGTCTTCATAAAATCCTTAAGCTTTCCATTAGATTACTGTATGTTACTTTAGAACAAGCTGAACTGGACAATTATTACAGTATTAAATATTCAAGTCACTTCATAGGTTAGCGCCGCAAGATTCAACAGTGATGGGTATGAGGATACATAGTACTAATGTATTACACAGTGCAGCAAAAACACCACTATTTTGGAGGGAACAATTACCTTTATATCTTATTATGAAGAATGTTTATGAGACCTTATTTTAGATAAATATTTAAAAATTGATAAAAGGATAAATCTCTGTAAATATATAATTTGATGCCTTATGTACTATTAACGTTTCCGATTTCACACTTTATCCATAATGATTTAGTTAGAACATAAGAAAACGTATTTAGAGGTTATTTTATTCTTAGAAATTGGAGTGGGCATTTTTTCCAATCTGCCTTTGCTAATGGACGACCAGATGTCAAAGTATAAAACTATATTCTCTTTCCTCTAAAAACGTCATGAGGAGTAATTCAGATGAATCTTAACAAAGTGAGGATGGAGAGAGATTTCAAGATAGTCAATGAGATGCCAACTCTCTTCTCCCCATATATATTTTTTTTTAAATAGGCAAAGTAAACATCTTTATCCAAATATGTTTATAAATTAGGTGAGATTTCCTCCCATTCCCCACTGTTAAACCCAAGTCTTCCCAAAGAAGAAACATAGCGTATTATCACCATTACAGTAAACTCAATGAAATAACTCAGGAAACATTTAGAGTGTGCACTACTGCAGACTTTTTCTCCCAGTCGTAAACAAAGCTATCAAACACTGAGGATGTTGGTATTAAAGCTAAGATTCATATAATAAAGAACTGGCCCATGACAAGCAGTTTACAAATGTTTCGTCCTTTTCACATTATGCAGAATTTCAATACCATCCACAATGCTAGTACAATAACTGAAATGCAAGATTGAGCAAGACTTCGCTTGCAAATATCATCTGACATTTCAGGGAAATATCCCTCTTGATTTGTAGGGAACTTCCTTAGATGTCAGTGGAAGCCATACACATCAAAATGAGAAAAAAATCCCTCTTCCGAAGTTCTTACCATTCACATGTCTTTCTCAAAAAGGCAAAAATATTCAGTTACTTAAATATGAAAGCTCACAACAGTCACCTTCGGCTGAGTCTTAAAAGACATGCCTTTCCTTTTTGCTATAACAAAACTAAATCCCATGTGGCTATGGGCTTCTTCAAATGTATCTAAAAAAGTTAAGCCACAATTACCTGTACCTCATTAATTCATCAAAAGCAAAATATATATGTACCACACAACATACAAAAGTTACACATTAAAAGTGCATATTCAGAATCCATTTGGCCCATGTCTTCAATTTACATTTGGTCATTCTATGCATCCTTTACTTGTCTATGGAACCATACATGTGGGATATATTTTCTTCCATCTAGGATACTATTACATCTTCACATTGAACACTTCTTGTTCACTTCTGCATTGAATGTAAACTAGTGATGGACCATAAAGAAACACAAGCAAGAGGTTTATTCTGTGTTTCTCTTCACCGTTTGGACAGCTTTGACACACGCACAATAAGCATTACAAACTGTAATGAAAATACACTTCTGGGCCAAACCATTGCATATTTGCCCCCACAATGAAAAATAAATTATGTTCAAAGCAGTATATTGCCATAAATAGCCTGTAGGCATTCTCTGAAGGTAAACAGGCTCTCCCTATATTTAGCACTTGTGTAGGAAACACTATGAACCTCCAGTTCAAGTGCTTTCATCGAGAGGCTAGTTAAAACCTTCCAGTTAGCACAGGACCAAACTATAAGTCTTTTTTGAAAATAATGGAAGATCCCTTTCAAAAATTAAATCTTCAGTTATCAACTTTACTGCATTATGGAGCTAGTGCAATCCTGCAGAGCCTAGTCAAAAAGACAAGGCACATTAAAAAAATAATTAAAAAAAATAAAATCAAGGTACATTAGACTATATGGACTAGAGAGTCATTGAAGATAATTTAAGGCCTTTCAGTGAATTAATCAGTCTAATTTAAAGCTGAGGATTAAACCATAAATTATCCATCTGAAAAGCAAACAATAGGCTTTTTCAGCTTCTGTTCTGTGGACAAGGATAACAAAAATTCTTGTTATGGTTTGTGAAAACACCTCTGGACATGGAGGAGTAGAGTCAATTCAGTCTTTAAAAGTTCATGGAAGATTTCATGACTGTTTTAGCCGTTTGCGTGGAATGCCAAACTGTGGACACTGTGCAGATGCTAGTGCACGAAAGGCCTCCGCTACTAAGTGAGGGTGAGAGTGGATCATGGACTTCCAGCCTGCTGTTTCCATTATGTCTGTAGCTTGGCTGAAAACAGAAGCATTAAGAATAGTCACACAACTTCATAAATCAAATGCACAAGCTGGAGAAGAGCAGGCAAGGCAGAACGACTGCAGAACAGCAGCTGAGCAATACGAAAGACAACATGTTTTTAAATGCCAGTAAGATGGTGCCATTGGAAAAAGTGGCAAATTTTTTTTGTTATATTAATATCATAATATGTAGGACATTATGCACTTATTCTCTTCTTCTTGACACCAGCAAACCTCAGCTGCAGAATGGAGTTCAATTCTGGACACTACACAAGACTACCACCTTCGTGGAAAGTGGGGACTAGAAAAGATGATTTCAAGAAAACCAGAAGAAAATGGAGGATACTAAGAGAAAAACCAAAGGAAAACATGACAATCTGCATCCACACAGATTTTGTTAAGAACACCACCATGTTCAGTCTGGGGGAGAAGGAAGGATGACAAGATAAATCAGCTGAATCTGCAGAAAAAAATGCTTTAGTATGAGTTCTAGAAAGCGATGAAGGCTATGAATCTCTGAAGGCACCGCAGAACCTCTCCCTGAAGGGCAAAGGTTCAGGGAGTATCAGTGAAGGATCCTTTGGGGACATTTGCTCTTGCTTCAGAATAAGACCATGACCCACAAGATCATTCAGAACATCAATAGCTTCACTGGATGTGAACCATTAAATATTTTAACTGATATAAAAGCAACAGATTTCAGCTGTGTATCACACCAATATCCAGGAGGTAAAATGATACATTTTCTGTCTCTCCCTCTCATATTCTTACACAAAAAGTAAATATAGAACAGTCAAACCTACAAGGTAGCAGTTGATCCCTAGACTATATGATCTCTGATCTCTTAAAAACCTTTCCCAGATTTCTAACAGAAGCTCTTAATCTTATAATACAAGTAAGCAAAGGTAAGAGCGTTGAGAAAGAGTCCAAAGTTGCAACTCCCTTGTTGCCAGGATTAAGCCAGGTTAAAACAGATCCTCTCAAATTGTGTCAGCTAAAGCACTTAAAAATTTCTCTGGTTTATTGTATTTCCAATTATCTAAAACAAAAGTCAACTCCAAATTATTTGAAGAGGAATGCATTGGCTAGTCTACATTCTAAGTACTACCACTTTTTTTTTTTTTTTTTAAATGATGTTTTAGTATTTTTCTACCACCATACTTTCTTTTCAATGCATGGTCATTAATTTGGCCTGTCAAGACCTCAGAGGGGTTAGAAATCATACTTGGAATATTTTAAAGCACCTGATATCACACAGATTTTAACTTTTCTGGAGATATTAATGGCAAGCAGCAAATACTCTGGCACCCTTTTCCTACGTTTCAGCTGGTGTCTCCCATTGCAAGAGTCATGCCAGCTGTTCTTAGCACATGCTGCAGCCAGCGTGGGCAGTTTTGTCCTCAGTCTAGTCTCAGCCACATATTCTCACCTATTTCTAGTAGCAGCATTAGCACTTACCCAGGCAGCCAGATGAGAGGGACCTGCCTGACTAGTTGTGTGGCCACAAGAGTGTCAGTGCTGGCATGTGGGTAGGTGCAGGAACATGTCACCACAGGTGAAGAGCGCAACTGCCCCCTTCTCTTTGGCAATACTGCAGACTCGGATTGATCTTAGCAACTTGGAACCATACTTGGGTTGCCACTTCATCAAGCACAAACCTGATCAGTGAAGAGAATAGCTTCCTTTATAAAGCCTGCTGCTGCCTCCTCACAGCATTGGTATGTCCTCAGGCAGAGAACAAAACTAGCTTCCATTATCTCACACCAGAAGGCAGGTAACTCCTCATATCATCTAAAGGCAAAGTCACAATCACAACTAGGGAAGTATCTGCTGAATTTTACTCGCCTTAATACTCTGGAATCAGTAACACTTCTTCAAGGTAACACTTCTTACGATCTGTAATCTATTTATGGTGTTTGTAGATAAGGCAGTGAGGTGGGGAGACTTACTTGCTATTCCAGTTTTTCCCATCTTTACACCCAAGTTGTCTCAGAACACTGCACCTGTAATGGAGAGAACAGTGCAAATATTAAGACGGTATGCAGAGCACAGCCAGCAAATACATTTACAGTCTCACTGTGTTACTTGCCTGTTAATAAAATCTATTGCTTGTGCTTTTAACTGTTCAGCGCTGTGCAAATCTGCGAGGATGAGAATGTCAGCAACATTTTCTACTGAGAGGTTACTACACAGGGCTTCCTCACACATGACCTTCAGCCGTTCCAGTGCATACTGCCAAAAGAAAAAAGCTACACTAATCAGTCCTCAAACTTATTCCTTCTACCATTATCTATGGACAGTATTAAAGACAGCTCCAGTCGCGAAAACATCCAGTGCTTGTCAAGCTTAGAACCATTGTGCTTCCAAACAGGTGATTCAAAATACAATACACTGTATCTAAAAATTCTCAGATGATAAAACATACATTAGGGTAGACAGAAACTGATCAAGTGTGTTACTGGGAGAACTTTTAATGGAAAAAAAAAATAATAATTTTGATTCTTTTACTCCCTCCCCTTACACCCTAAAAAAAGCCAGCATAAATAACAGCATATCTCCTTTCCACTTGAGTGTGTTGAAAATTGTCAAAATACAATCAGTTTTGGAAAATTAATGCTGCAATAAAATATGAAAAGAACACAAGTGGTAAGTCACCAAAGAGAGGATAGTGGCAATTCAGGAGACTCAAAAGAAAAAAACATTAAATGTTGCCCACCCCCCCATCCCCAATAAAAAGCAGACATTTAACCATTTCTTGAAATAAGCTACTGAAATGACCTACGTCGTTGTGACAGGAATCATCTTATGATAAGAATAGTTTCACCACTGATATTTTAAGGGCATAGTTGCTCAGCAAGCTTTTCAAGCTATATTACTGGTACTCAATTTCAAAAAAAAATGGTATTAAATACAATAGTAGTAATGTTGTGGTCTAAAAGATTGATAGAAAGATTTTTTACCACTAGAAATGTCTATACTTCCCCCATCATTGTGCAGTTCAGATGAGTCCTCAAAATAAACACCAGTCGGATTTTTTTTTTTAGAAGAATGTTCTATAAACAAACAGCAATTTTGAGAATTTAGAAATTAATTACTCACTTTGTCTGCAGCTGCCAACAAATTGTCAGCCATTTTTTCAAGGTTTGGTGCTTTTCCTGTATAAATGAATCTCATCATTTCTTTAAAAACCTCAGGGTCAACATCATTTATTTCTACACGATTCTGGTAAAGAATAATCACAAAAAAATATAATTTAGCAATAGAGAGAAAACATCAAATACCACCTGTGCGCATACTACTTTTCATTTTCCACCATGTGAGATCATCCTTATGAATTTAAGCTAACATTCAACAATATCAAGCAGAAAGTAATCAAACTTTGAGTCACTAAGTGAAGTAGTAATTAGTTGGAAAAAAAGCTTAGGCAACAAGAACTAACCTACACATTTTCTTCTAGCAGTGTCTGGCTCTACGCGGAATCTATGGCACAGGCAGTAAACACAGATACACACACATCCCACACATCTATCTATACATCAAGGCAGAGTTTCAGGAATATTTAACAACCCTGCTGAGTTTCCAAGCCAACAGTGGTGTGTTTGAAATACTGGAAGTCAGAGCACCACACAGAACAAAGTGAGACATTTTTGGCTCAATGTAAATTGAGCCAACACAGGCTATGTTTTATCACTGAATTCTAGAAAGCAAAGAAACATTTTCCAACGATATAATATAGCTGTAGGTCTTCCTAATAAACTCTAGTCTTGCATATTTGCCTCCATGCCCTAACAGTGTCCTCAAGGACAAGTAAAGCAGCAGGCACTGATTCAAAGATGATGCAGAAGCCAGCATCACACTCCAAAAAAAGGCATCACAGGCCATCCAGCACAGACATCCACGTACCACTTCCCTAGTCACTGAACCAGGCACAGCAGCACAGTGCTTAGGAGGAGATTTATGGCCACCACGAAGGCCACCAGCCTGGCACCTTTCTGAAGGTGCTGGGACCTTTACCTGAGCAGGTGAGGCTGCTGAGGAACAAAAGACATGTCTGGGTTTCTTTAATTCCAGAAATCCCAAGTTAGTGCCTCTAATATTCTGATTCTGCCAGGGAATGTTTTCAGATGAAGGAAGGACAGAGAGGAAAAATTCCACCTCTGAAAACAACTCAGGAGCATCAGAGCCACACACTCATCTGATGAATTAATTCACACAAGTGGCATCACTGAAACCAGCAAGGCTCCAAGCAATGAGTATCTATTACAGTCCTTTGAGATGACCAGTCCCTTTGCTTTCACTCACAGTCATGGATTCTGCCTACAATCAATTTCAGAAGTTATTTTTCATGAAAGACATGAACGGTTCTATGGGGAATATCAAGCATGCAAAAGGAGAAGCAGCTCTCTGGGCTGATTAAATAACTATCCATCCAGAGCATTCCTACAGGTCAAGTGTTTGCAGAAACTATGAAAGAAAAGGAGTACTTGAGAACCTGAGTTACAATTCAGTGTAGCTTGCTTTTTGTGTCCTAGTTACCATATTTTTTTTAAACATAAGTATAGCAACAGCCAAGTAGAAATTAATTGGCTTAATACAGGTGGTGAAACTAAAGTAAAAAGGGATAGATGGAGCATGTTAGGATAACCGATCGAGGGCAGAAAGAACTTCCTGCAATAACAGGCAGGAAGTTCTCAATCCTCCATCAATCCTCCAGATTTTTTTCCCCAGTCAGAGCAATGAGGATGAGTAAATTCCCAGACAGCTCACTGGAAGAGAGTTCAGGACACAGTAACTCCTCTCATTCCCCATGAGATAGTACTCACCTTTATCAGTTTACAACACACCAGCTTTTTGCAACTTTCCTCCCTTCTCACCCAGGGTGAATATTTACATGTTAAGTTTTCAGTAACACTTACCTTTTTGCTTTCCTCCATTTCATGCTCAAACATTGCATTAAAAACTGGAGAACGTGCTGTAGCAAGAGAAGTAAATATTAAATATAATCAAATTTCAAACTTTTAGCAGTTTTAATAACAAAAATAGCAATACAAAAGTAGAAAGTACCTGCAAGGACAGATTTATGAGCTTTGAATTCTTGTCCTCCTACATAAAAACTGCAATCTGTAAATCTTGTTGTTTCCCAGAGATTCCCTAAATCTTCTGCTAGTCGACATTCAGGTACCTTCAAAGTGTTTGTATTAGACTGTCCTGATATATTTACTGAGTCTTGGACCACGCTTACCTAACAGAAAATCACAGCAAGACAACTCCTTCATAACTGAATGCCAAAAAATAATCAAATTACAGCACCTATGGCTAGAAGTTCAACATTTCCTAAGCAAAGCAAAAACAGGGATGTTTCTGGCATTAGCCCACAAGCCTAAACAAGTGATTTGAAAAACAACAAAAACACATAATTAAATTCTATATTTTTAGAAACCAAGAGAAATCCTTTAAAAAACAGAGCAAATAACATTTTACTTAGAGTCTAATGTTTCATAACTATCCAACCCAAAGACAAGAGCACAATACTACAAGCCACATAATACAAAAGCCCAAGTAAGTAAAATCAAGGACAGATACGGTTCTTGATACCAACAAGATCCTTAAATAAAAGTTAATGCTATTTCCCAGACAAACAGTTCAATGCTTTCACACATTAAGTAAAACATATGAAAGAGTTCTAAGCAGAGCATCAGAAACATATAAAAACACAGACAAAAGTTTCATCGGAGGTGATCTACATTTCAGATAGTAAGTTATTCCTAGCTCTAGTACAAGGTCACATTTAAACCCTATTATGACAACGCAAACTAAATGTAAGCAACATTGCTCTTTCATCGTTCCGTTTTTGTTTTGTCCAGATCAAGCAGAGATCACAAGCAATTGCTTCCAACTAGGATAAAAGCCCATCTTTAAGAAATGCAAGCCATTGGAGTATAAAACATAATAGGTAGGTTACTTTAATAAGGAGATGTAAATTCACAATAAGTAATTTTACAAAAACTAGTACACTGTGAATGATGTAGATCTGAAGTGAATATACTGCATTAATCCCCATGTTCAATTCTTCCATATAACAAGAATAAGTGAACAGGAGAGTGACATTCTTGCTTGCTTTTTTTAGATAACTGTACACATAGTTTTAATTAGTCTGTTGAGGAAACAGAAGAGCTCAGCAGGTTTTATTTTTGTTGTCTGAGAGCACAAGGCCGAGAATAAAAGCTTTCTAAAGAAGAACTATAAGATCTTGATTACTGCACCTCCCAAAAACAGCAATCAGGATTATACATTAGGAGAAAATACCAAAACTGTTGAGACCGTCCCTTGTTGGATTTCCAGAGCCACAGAATCTGGCATAAAGCAAAAATAGCAGAGCTACGTTTCACCACAAGCGAGAACAGAGCAAGCCAAACGCCAGAGCGGAAGAGGATGCTGCTCCAGCCAGGACAGCAGCTTGGGGATTTGAATCATTGGCTAATTCTGTGTTTCATCCCATAGCACTTTGTGACTACGAGAACTTTCCTTATCCTCTCTCACCTTTTGAAAGAAAAAATACAAACAAACAACAACAAAAAGACCTATCCCAAAGCACTGCAGAGTTTTTTTTTTCCACATTGAGGCTGTACATTATTTACACTGGAAGATCTATGGGCCTGGCCATCCAACTGCACGGTTTTTGCCTAAGCAAAGTGATTTCGGGGTGTACACACAGACTGACCTGCGGCTCAGCCAAGCCAGCTCCTGTCAATGGGGAGAGTTCTGCTTCTCCAGAAACCTCAGTTAAAGTTAAGCTCCCACTCCAGCTTCCCTGTGCAGAATCGTCTTTCTTTAACTATAGACAGTGCCTAGATAATTCATGCATCCTTCATATTTACTTAGCTGATCGTGGATGTTCCAAGCTTCCACTATTTTAGAGAAATTTCTAATAGATATTGATGGCTGCAAAACCCAGAAAAGTTTTCTTTGAGCCATCCTTTCAAGACGCAAGCTGAGTGATTCACATTCCCTACAAAGGTGTATTGTCTTACCTAGCTATCTAGGTAATAACAACTTTTAAAGATCCTAACTACAAACATTTACAAGGATCTGATATTTCATATCTCGCTTGTCCAGATGGGATGCTAAAAAAAATTCATTCATCTTTTTTAAATTAAATGAATCACTTATTTAAAACAGGCTGAAATCCAATAAGGCTAATGCCACGGAGCTACTGAAAACTCTCCTTATTATAAAGGAGCCAGTCATTTTTTAAAACACTTAATACCAAATCCTTGTTTTAGGCACCTCAGTGCATTGCTCATAAAACCACTCAAGAATGTGGCAGAGGTTAAAACCCAGTAGTGAACCATTTAGCTCAAAAAAAGTAGCAATCTAGCCAGGATTCCCAGGTGCTCTGCAAGGTCTTATTTACTTGGCTTCTTAGGAAACTATCCTGGACATGACTTTGCACTGCATGAATACTTTAGGTGAACAAATCCTGTTTACCTCATTTATCCTCCTGCATAAAGGTACGTACAAGACATGACTTTAACAATAATAACACATACCATTTTCTTGGATTTGAGCCTGCGCTACTATAACAGCAAAAGATACTGTAAGCAATACTCTAGACTACTAACTCAACACAAGTTGGAAAAAAAATGTCCCTACAAAAATTTTACAATTCTATTAGCAAATGGAAATATTTGGAAGATGTTGGTAATTTAAAGTTACGTGCAAAGGGGCAACTGGAATTAGGGATCAGTTTGCTTAATAAAAATTTTAAAAAGTTGCACTTAATAGGTCACTTGTTAGTGGCAACCCTTGACTTTGCAAAGCATTTAATCTAACCCCTCAATTTCCAATCCAAGGTCACATCCAACTGATCTTAAGTACATTCTGCAATGCAGAAGAAGCATCTTTGCATGTACTACCTAAGAAGAATAAATAGCCTTCTGCAGCCCAAGAGGGCAGGAGGAGACCCACCAGCACAGCTTACCAGCTGTGACCTTTCCTACATACCTGCTAGGCATGCCAATATTGTTTCAAGAAATATCTATGGCAGTTTTTAAAGTTGTAAGTCACTTTTCAAACTAGCATATAATAAAACAATTACAGAAATCAGTGCTCAGAGACAAATTTAAGAAGGATCAAACAATTTCTTCCAAAGAAAATCTGTTACTTCTAATGACAGCTTAATAGCCAGAAGAGCAGATCAGAATAAAGGAGTTTTTTTTAAAAAAAAAAAAAATGGTAGATAATCCTTTTGTTTTAGTTTGAAGTAAGTTATTTTAACATGCGCAACTAAATGCTGTACCTCCTTCTACATTTATAGTCAGGGTAGCTCAAACTTCACATAAGCCACTCAGATTTAAAATATCAAGAAATTATTTAGGGAAACAGTTTTTTTTTTTCAAAGATTGGCACTGGAATTTAAATATTTATCTGTGGAAAAGTCAGCATATGTTCAAATTGGTACACACTATCTTTAAAGCTAAAAAAAGCTACACACTTCCAAAACTAAACAGTATTTCAAAGGGCTATTTACATCCATCTATTCAAAAAAGGGATAAAACCAAAAAGTAAAATACTCATGAGCATTTTTGCAGAACCATAACACACTTTTTGCATCTAATTTTACCACCCAAATAATTGCATTCATAACAATTTTATCACGCAGCTACTGGAATTTGCCTGAGTGGAAATAAAAGCAGTATACATTTGCACCTTCTAGTCTCAGGGGCCACATTTCAATTATTCTTCCTACACAGCATAATGACATATAATTAAGTTGTAATCTTGCCAAGACAATTTTACACATTTCCTGTAAATACAGAGATCAAAGGAAACTTCTTAGCAGTTAAAGCATCTATCATCCTGGTAAGCCACTAATCACTCCATGGCAGCAGTCAAAACCTGCCAATGTATATTTAACATACACTGTACTTATATTGCATCTTCCTCTGGTTTCCATTTTTAACTTATTGTGTTTTACTGAAATTTAATATGACAATTCATGCTGCCAACAAAACACATTAAAGTAACCCATAATACTCCATGAAGTGAAATTTATTGAACAGTTCTCAATATTAGTTCTCAGCATTAACCAGTCCTCCTATAGAAAAACTTGCATCTGTTCAGAAGACAAACTGTAATGATTAGTACAGAAAAAGGGAGGTCTCAAATATAATGCCATTAAAGGAATATTTTACAATAGTTCACTTCGAAATACAGCTATAAAAATGGGTTTAGAAGTAAAATTCATAATATTACTGAGTTACAAAATTAAGAAAGGTGCACAAATTAAAAACTGTTTAATTTATCTGAAAAACAAGCTATATTGCAGTAATATTGTTAAAAATTTTCAGGAAGAATCAATACAAACCAACAGGTCAACAACTTCCTTTTACTTATGCACTGAAGGATCCTATGTTTCCCAGGGCAATTTCTTCCCAGGGCAATAAAAGCAGCTTCAGTACATGCTGTCTATACAAATAATATTGTATGATACCTTTGGCATAAATAACTTCACAGATGATTCTAATGCAATCCTGATTCATGGAGAAACCCACCAGTTTACAAGTCATAAACTCATACTTGTTTTGCACTTTCATGCGCACTTATCAAAAAAGAAACAAAGTATAACGCAGACAGCAAGTAAACTTGTACTTTTCTATACTTATGGCTTAGAAAAAACAACTTTTATCATACTTTAGTGTTCTCAATCAACGAACATCTATATCAGACCAGATAATACTTTATTTAAAAAAAACTTACCACTTAATCTCATACTCACCTCACAAAATAACGTAAGCTTATCATCTGGTAATAGACCATTAGTTTCATCTAGTAAAAAATCTCTTCGAATAAATTTTTTAAAACCCCAGTCTTTGCCTTGCACAAATCTATATGCTCTTTGGCTTTCTGATAAAAAAAAGAGAAAAAAACGATTATGTACAAAGGAAGCTAAATACAAAAAAAAAAAAAAAAGAGCAATAACATCTAAAGAATATGTACTAAGAATGCCCAGGTCTTAATTCACTAATAAGTCAACTTATATTCAGATAGTGTTTTTCCATTTTTAGGAAACCCACCACCGATTACATACTATTTTTAAGTCATAATAGTATCATTTTATAAAAGACTCAGTAGATCCTAATAGAGCACAATTTGCAATTCGGGCACCCCACCTCTTTAGATGTTATCTTGAGGCATTATCCAGAAAGAGAAAAATGTCAATAAGCTTTTTAAAATACCAATGTGTAAAAACAGAAACTGTTCACAAGAAACTACCATTTCAGTGAACTTCTCATCACAAGTACTTTCTGAGATTTGTGCAGTTGTAATATTCTGCTCTGACTCCTGCCTTAAAAGGAAGGCCCTGTTTCACTGGCTGGAACTAACAGGTACAAAAAATATTAGAAAGGTAAAACAGAAATAAATTGTTTCAACTAACTTAACCTATTTCTCTGGTCATATATATGCTTTAGTTTGTTCCTAGTCCTTTCTTGCAATACTTTCAATATCTATCGGATTTGCTACAACCACACAACTATTTTCCCCGTTCTAAAGTTCACGGCCTTACAAAGGATTCCCAGGGTCATGTTGAGAACACGGGCTCAAGGTAGCTCCCTTTAGAGAATTAACAGGATGAACTCAATAACCAGCCACTCCTCAAGCTCTGTTCTGAGCAGTTAAACATTAAAAATTATGTAAGCTGAATGTTACTTTACATGGCACATCCACTACATTTTGGTCCGTAAGCTGAATCACAAGGAAGAGCATTGCATATTTTTATTTTATTCCAATACATGGGAAATGGCCTATCTGGAGACAATTTTGTAATCATACGTGTTTCATTCTACATATGACACAATCATACTTAGGAAAACTGTCTAAAAGGAAACAAGCGCAGATAATTTTTCTGAGGCTCTGGCATTACTTTAGAAGTAACAGCTCTCCAAGACAGGGCTTTTCTTCAATTCCAAAAAAGCAGGTCAAGAAATGCATCATGATTTTGTTTTATCGGTAAGAGAGCAATTGAAAACTTTAAGTCAGAAGTTTATTATGAAATATTTTTCATGGCAGAATCACTTTGAAAAGCATTTCTCCTAAAAGTTCCAGAAATATCAGCAAAGTCCAATTTCCTTCCTACTGTTCACCTGGTGGCATCACAGACAGAGTCTCAACCACGTAACATACTGTGCTATACAAAATGAATAGTTTTCAATTCCAGTGCTGGAGAAGTGAAATTCAACACAGTTTTCCACCAGAAATAGACGAAGCAAATTATCTCCTACCAGCTTTGATTACATTTTATGAATACAATGACAAACAAGGCAGGAACTGAAAACGTGGGAGGTCTTTCTATCCCTGCCACCTTATCACATCTTGCACACACAGCACAACTAGCAATCAAACCAACCCCAGCCTCAGAACAGCAAACAAGCTACCAAAGCAGAGCACGGAAGCAGAGGAATTCCCAGGAAAGAAAAATAACACCAGCCATTTTTGAAGATTCTGGGTGGCCTTATTTTTGTTTGTTCGGGGGAAGAGGTAGAGGGAGACACTTATGGTATTTAGACTTACACTCTGCTTTGTGGATTTTCTTTAAAGACTACAGGAGGGCTGAGGTATATAAGGAGAAGATAGCATAGAAAGCTCATCTTGAATCAAAATTGAGACCCAATATGAAGAGAAAGAAAAGGAAAAACACAGACTGAAAATTAGAGTTACTCCAGAAAACAGAACAAACCCCCCACCTCGCCAGACTTTAGGCACAGGTAGTGGAGAACTACAGATTTTCCAAAAGACTCTGAACTTTTACCAGATCTTGCAAATCCTGCAAGATCTCCTAAGTGCAGAGAGGAGGAAGGAAGAAACGCAGGCAGATTCTTCATGTACAGAAGAGCACAAACTCACCACAGACCAGCATTAAACTGTTGAGGTAAAAACAGATTCTCAGATGAAAATGGAGATGCCATAATTCAGCATTGCATTTTAGCCTGCATTTGACAAGCAGACTATAAACTGTTCCGATGTTCAACTGCTCCTTAGTGCCCCACAGAATCTACTTGTGTTTTTCTAATTTAACGTAGTGAAATTAGGTCACTGATCAGAAGCGTGTGAAACATTAATAAGATTTTTTCTAATTAAGCTTCTATAAGGACTTTTAAAACAGACGCATTAAAGCTTCCCTCAGTACTAGGCTTTGTTCTCACTTGAATGAGATTTCAACATTACTTTTCTTACAAAGCTGCAGGCACTACACTATGCTCAGGTTTCCCTTACCCATTGCTTTTGTTTCTTCTCTTTTAGCATTCAGCAGGGAAAATTTGAATTTTGCTCTGACTTCACTTTTTGGACAACTGACTAAAAGCAAATATAATGATAGGTAGTCTTTGCTTTCATCATCTAATCCCTTTGGGTTCACTCTCAGACACCTGAAAGAAATTAAGAAATCATACATTTAAAAATTGCACACAGAATAAATTTTGAAATATTTTTATAAGATATGATAATACAAGCTACCAAAATGAATGTTCCTCTATGACTGTTGAAACTGTAATTCTTCACTATAATAAGGCTTCAAGAAATAGCCTCATCTTTTAAAATTTATTCACGATTTTACTTCACAACTCAGCCAAAAAACACCCCCCAGAAGAAGAAAAAAAAAAAAGGCAGTTACCAAAATAAAGATCTTACCACTTCATTTTGTCATTTGGCCCTGATGAAAAGGTAGAACTTTTTAAAACTTCACCCATTTCTTCTCGGCAAAAACTGAAGTTATTAATGGTCCACATGTAGGAAAACTTTACTACTTTAACCTGAATGAGAGATGCAGAAAACTTCAATAAAATTCAACCTACTTGTCAAGCATTACCTGTGAGAACTTGTTAGATTGTCAGCCCAACTCTAAGTGTTACAGAAAATTCTTTTCAATACTATGACAAGCAAGCAAAGGCACTAGAATTCATGCAAGTTACCTGTGTATAACACCAGCTTTCAGCCACAGGTCCACTGGACATCTCTCCAGGAGGAGGTGGGGTGGGGACCCTGGACATTGCCACTTATTGCAAGGTTTAGAGTATCAAGACAGCAATCCAAACTTCAGTAATTTTCCTAAAAAAGTAATTCATTTTTTTGTCATTCTTTTTAAGCACAGGAGAAAAAAATACCTATAGCAGGATACTCAGATTTCTCTTTATTAAATCATGCCTCGGAATACTAAGGTTGCAAGGAGGCTTGTTTAGACAAGCTAGGTGTCAGAGTCATTAATAACCACTTTTCTCAAACCACAGGCTGAATCCTCACGCAATACTTCATTAAAGCAAATGCCTACGCATCATTCAGTGACATCAGTAACACTAATGGCATTAGTTGAACACTTCCTTTGTCTCTTATTACTTTGAACAATCTTGGCATGCTATGACTTTTTTCAAGATCTTTTTGTTTGTTTTCAAGGGTGCCTAGGACCTTCGGAGACTAAGATGTTAGTAACAATGCATTAGCAGTCCATGGAGACATAATTCAGTTCTGAGGCACCACCTAGCCTTCTGGGAGCTGAAGTTCAAATAATTCTGGGATTTCTGGAGGAAAGATAAGAAATTAAGCTTTATAGTAATTAGTACTTCATATATTTTTCACAGTTGCATTGTATTTTTTTCCTCTCTCAATACATAAAGTTTCCTTAAACATATCCTGCTCTCACTAAAACAAGATCAGAAGACCATGACCTTGCTCAAATATGGGAGTCCTTGAACATATAGGTATTTTTGTTTGTGATAAAATAACATTAATTGTACTTCTGAAAGCACTTTGATTGCACTAATCACACTGGGACTTTTCCTTTAGGGATAGGCAGTACTCACAAACAAGGTTTTATGTAAACATTGCTGAGAACACACTGCAAGACTAAAGGCAGCTCAAACTTGAACAAAATTATTCCTACTGAAAGACCAATCCTGATAATCACTATGACCCTCAGTGGTGCTTTTTCATCTGCCTTTCCGATACCTCACAAGTTAATGACAGATGACATACGGATCACTCTGAATCATGAAGGTATGGAGCCTTAAAGAAGGCTACTTCTCAGTTTTTACATTAGATGAGGAAGCACCCAATGAATCTCCTGCAAGATCCTGATCACTGATATATTCAATCCATCAGAAATACATTTCAGTTATCTCCTATAACACATGGGCTTTTCTTTCTGAATGCAATTTATGCCTCTGTATAGCAATCTGCAGAACTTAATTAGCCTTTTTCATAGATGATAACAGGTAACAAAGTCATAATAAATTTCACATAAATAATTTAACATAAAGGAACTTACCCTAAGATTTTTTTAAAAATAATTCCATGTATTGCAAAAGCTGTATTACTTTGTTTCAAATCCCTGTACAAAACCAGTAAGTAAAAATCCAAGGAAGGCTAAGTGTGAATATCCCTCTTTCATACAGCAGATATTCATCCTTATGTTGGCATGATTTTTACAAGCTAATCATGTTCAGTGGTAACAGCTGAAACTATAACCTAAACATAAGACAGATTTTCTACGGAACCATTATCCAGAAACAGTTTAGCTTGATGAAGCTTTAATGAACCTGTTTACTTTACTCCAATACCAAAAACACGTGCTATATTTCATCCTGTCACTCCTGGAGACAGGTAGCATCGCTTCATTTCTAACCTGTTCCTCCTCGATTCTCTTGGTCCCCAAGATCAGCAAACTCCTAGAAGCAGCCTGGTGATCCCGAAGGAGCCGTAGACCAGAGTCACTCCAAAATGAAGGAGGCCAAAATAACTGCTCTCTGGAACCATCTTTAGGAAGGGTCCAGTAACCTCATGCCAGCTGTGGACAGTTATCTACCACCTCCTGTCTCACAACTAGATTAATCCAAAATGACAATTTACGTGTAAGCAAAGGTGGTCGACTGCAACTTATTTTATGGTCAGTAATGACACAGTTGCTTCGTGCCTGGACCTGTTACCTACAGCTTACACACAGGTATTGGCACTTCAGAGTGCTTTGATCTGTCATGAGGCTTTTAATATTTTTTAGAGGATCTGAAATAAGCCACGAATGCAAGTACATTTTTCAAATCACTCTCAATAGTTTCAGCTTTTTATAAAGTTTCTCATTACAGCATTAGGAGCAGACAATTGATTTTCCTGACCTCTGATAATCTTTGAGAAACAGATTTGTAGCTCATTTTTCTCTGGCATGGATTTACTAAGCCAGTCAGATTTTTAGGTTGAAAAAGCTGGGGGAAAGCAAGAATTTTGAATGGTTTGATATCACACCAGGAGCCTGAGCTGAGGAACACTTATTATTATTATGCATCCAGGCATATGGAAAAGAAAGAAAGCAACAAAAAAACTGAAAAGTGGATTATGGACAAACAGAATATAGGATGCTAATACATGGCAGAAGACTGTCACAGAAAAGCAGGGAAACAATTTAGAAACACTGTTTACCTTCCTCTTACTTTACTTAGTTGGCTTAATAAGGACTGGATAATGCAGATGGTTACCAGGAAAAGTGGAACACGCGAGGAAAAATTAAAGTGCAGGTGAGAAGCAAGTGCATGCGGGTGCTCACCCCTTGCTCTACGTACTACACTTTGGGGAAAAGATGAAATACTACTTGGAAGAATCTGCTTATGAATCATTGATCAGCTCAGACAGAAAGGTTTTCAAGTACCAGCGCCTCACTGCAGCCTGGCAGATCAAATGCTTGGGAACAGCTGGAGCTGCAGTTCACAAAAATCAGTTAGCGAACGACTGGGTGGAATTAAATCAATGAAGTGCAGGGAGAGAAGCCTGTTATCTGAAGGATGAAACAACTTACCCGGAGAAGAACAGTGTTCATGCTTGTGCCTGCACTTACTCCCCTGCACACAAAGCGCCAGAGCAGCCAGGACATTATCACGTGCTAACGCCAAGAGCTTTCAGAGAATCCTGCCTGCCTGGACCTGGCTTAACAAACCAGTCTGTGGGGCCAGTTGGCCAGGTAAAAGTCTTCTTCAGTTAAAAGTATGAAGTCTCTGACCATCAGAAGAATCTTGAATTTACCTCCATGGGAAACACGAAGGCAAGATTTAATGGATGGGGACAAAAGAAGCTCCTGGCTTTATAAAAATGGAAGTCAATGGAGTGGTTTGAGAAACAGCATGTCACGTAGCTCCTCAGACACTGCTGAGGCTTCAACATCTAGGCTGCCAAATTAATAAGGCAGAGAGATAGACAAAGCACTTGCTATTGAAACATGAAATTTGTGACTAAAAAGAGCAGCTGGAAATTACAGACCAAAGATAGGGCAAGTAGCAGTGGCAGGTAGTAACAACACCTGCCTTGGATTTCAGGTACTAGGATATCCCTCTCCAACCCAGCTATACATGACGTTTATGGTTGGTGTGGGGTGTTCTAGTTTTCGGTTCATTTTAAGTAAATTGATATACTATACTGAATGTCACAAAGCTGTAAGTGATGATTTTATCTCCTTTCTGAGTATTTGTTTACTTTAACCTACTTCAAAGGAGTGAAGAACAACTAAGGCTCAAAAACATTTTACATTTTCTCTAATTAAACTATTAGCAGTGCATATACACTTTTATTAGGGTTTATTTATTTTTAATTTCCCAAGGAGGCAAATTGTACTGAATTGCTTTAAGGATCAGGGTCTATCAGATCTTTGGTGAGCACAGCTATGGAGCTAAGGACAGGGGAAACAAGCGAACTGAATGAAACTAGCAAGTCCGATGAGAGGTGTTTTAAAGTGTTTTTGCTACAGGGTTGCTGTTGAGTCACACAGTTTAAGCAACACCAGTTTATAAAGACAAAAGGGTTTGGCCCAACAGACAGATATCTCAAGGTAAAAAGCAAAGACAGCTGTGTCCCTTTATCCTTAGGGACTGGACAGCTATAATATAGCACGTATGTACACATACATAACGCACGCATACACACACTGTGTGTATATATGCACACACTACGTACCCAGAGAACTGCTCAGCTGGGTCACCCCAGCGATAGTGCCCATACCCAGGCCAGCTCCGCACTGCCCATCGCCTCCGTAGCTCTGCAGGGATCTGCACGGAGCCCTGCCGTCCCCAAGCCAGCAGCTCTGCATGCCAGCACGGACACGGGGCACACAGCAGGGAGCTGCAGCTGAGGCACCAGGGCCACACGGGTGTCCCCAAGGTGCTTCTGACAGAACTTCTGCAAGGCAAAACTGGGCAACTGCAGAAGGTGCAACTTCTTGGGAAGGAGGCATTAAAGCTGCAACTGCTAACACTGCAGCTAGCAGCTCAGAATCAGCTAGGCATAGCTTACCTCACTTCAGGCTAGGACTGGATAGTCAACACTACTTGAAAAAAATATAAAACAATTGTAAAAAATTCTAAAAAAATGAAAACTTTTTCCTCTGGATTTTCTTACCTACTTTTAAATTTAATTTTATTTTTCTAAGACTTATCTCTGCTGAAGGAAAACCCAATGCCTATCAGAACAGTAACTGTCTGGTTTAACCAGATCCAAGTTATTAATAATAGTAATAAAAACACACCCCTCAGCATTAGCCTTGCATTATTGTTCTCCAACACAGGAATGGAGAGAGCTCTTTATTAGATAATCTAAGACATTCCCTGGAGGAGTCATCCAGTCCATTTCCCTGGAGATGTAATGCAAGATTATTTCTTACAGAATGTTCCAATTTCATTGCCCAGTCTAGTTTAATGGAACCCAGAAGATGGGTATTTCCCACCACTGTTCCTCTTGGGAAACTTTTCTATTCTAATAATCTATTGCTGCTGGATTTTTTTTCTTGGTATACAGCCAAAACGATCATACGTCCTGCTTAGCTTCACTCCATTACTCTTGCTATAACAAACCATCGACATATGAAACTTAAAGGAAGAAAAATATTCTTCAGATACTTTAAGTTACCCACAACCAGGAGTTCATCAATTTGAATAGCTGACCTTGACTTTTTTTTTTTTTTTTTTTGGGGGGGGGGGTGGAGGCGGGCATATAAAACAGAAATATGCACATTAAGAGACAGAAGGTTAAGTTAAAAAAAATTCTAGCAACAGCTGCCCTTTTCCACCAGATTTACAGTAAAC